GCATAGATCGACGATATTTTTTGTTCTTTTTGTACACATTTGTTTTACTACTGTGCAATACGATCAAATCTCGTTAGTTTAATTATGTTTTATAAACATACAGCGATCAACAATAAGATTAAAGAGGAGTGTGAAGAGTGACCTCTAATTTTGTGTTTTTCCATTCATATATTACCTCAGATGTACTGACGTAATATATGAGAGAGACGTAAATTATTTACAGAGTCTACATTTGATTCCAGACTAACTTTTCGGATGGCACATGAGAAACGCAACTCATAGCAATACAAATGTCCTGGTTGTCGACCGTAGAATACAAGTAGAATGAGACAAGACAGTAACTGTACTGCAGTTACATAAGATGGTGACTTTGTTTAAACTGTTAACTGTGGTTGAACATACATCCACAGCTGCTGTTGTGATCACCTAATTAGTATCGTTTACAGTATTTGACATTAAAATAGTGGCATTTAAACAAGGTACACTTTGAAAAATAATGGATGATGATTATTTTACGCTAAGTTGTTATCATCCATAATCGAAAATAGTAGTGTATGACGTAAAAAGTAGGGACAAATGTGTCTTGATCACTAAAAATTAGCAGTGAAATGATCACCAAAAAATAAGACTTCTGATCACCAAATATATTCATTGCGAAATAATCACTTAATCAATTAAAGAAAATATATAAAAGAAGAATATATACAAATTTAATAGCAAATTAATTAGTTTAGTTTCAGCGTTATTGCAAATTCATTAGTGGACAGACAAGAAAAAGAATAAAAAGAAAATATATACAAGAAGTATGAATAGAAATATGTGAACAGGTGACGGTTTTTGAAATTCTATTGCCAACGGTTAGTTTTCTGAAATTTTATTGATTTTGTCAACTCACAAGAACTAAAAATAACTGCCTAAACTACAGACGATACGATCAAAAAATATCGAAGTAATAATAGAAAGTATTACACACGGCTACATCGTCTCATGAAGCGAGAGATTACGCAAAATCACAGTTTAATGTTTGCCAAATTTCGTCGATCGGATTTAAAAAATCATAAAAGAAACCAATAGAATTTCAAAAACCGTCACCTGTTCACATATTTCTATTCATACTTCTTCTTGTATATATTTTTTACTAATGGATTTACAATAACGCTGAAACTAAACTAATTAATTTGCTATTAAATTGGTATATATTCTTCTTGTATATATTTTCTTTAATAAATTTGGTGATCAAAAGTCTCATGTTTTAGTGATAATTTCGCAATGAATGTATTTGGTAATCAAAAAAACTTGATACCCTAAAAAGTATGATACTACATACGTGTTGTCAAGTATGTAGAACAAGCACGTGCGCAAATGAATTCTGACAAAATAAAGTTAGAACACTTTTTAACACAACTCAACTGATATTAAAACAGGGCAAATTCAGCTGAAATGTCGCATATTTTACAAAAGTGTTCCCGTTTCGTTTAAAACCGATGGAGTTCATCAAGTTATGTAATAAACTGTCCTTTCTGGCTTGATAGCTGATGCAGCAACCGAGAAAAATGACTTTTATTTTCCCAGCAAAATTAATAAATTCGGCGCCACTTTCTCTGGATCACCGTGCAACATGTTCTCCCTTTTTTCCCTTTTGATTTTTTATTAAAGAGTGAGACATGAATATATTCTCTAAAACTTTGAAGGATGCTCCATGTAAGATTCACTAGATATTGAACTTTTAAAAACGAAGTATGTTTCAGTTTTATCTCAGTATTTTAAACTTGGATTTTAATAAAAACAACTTTCTATTATACGGTTTTCTTGCATTCTCACCCAGGTGATTTTTCTGCAACATAAATCTGGAAAAATCTTTGCAGTAACTTTGCAGTAACTTTGCAGATTCTGCAAAGGAATTCTGCAGATTTGAAGCAGATCTGCATTGCAGATGTGCCAAGATTTGACCAAAGATCTGATGCAGATCTGCAAAAAAATCTTTACAGTTTCTTTGCAGTTCCTTTGCAGGTTTTTTGCAGAGAAACTGCAGATTTTTACAGCTTTTTTTTGTTTGTATATTTGTGTCAAAACATTTGAAATATATGAAATAAATGTATATTCCACAGTCCCACAGCACGCTGAAAAATCTGCAAAAATTCTGCAAAGAATCTGCAGAGAAACTGCAAAGAAACTGTAAAGATTTTATTGCAGATCTGCATCAGATCTTTGACCAAATCTTGGCACATCTGCATTGCAGAAAAACTGTAGATTGCAGAATCTTTACAGATTCTGCAAAGATTTTTGCAGACCGAGTTTTTTTGGGCAGTTCGATTATGACCGTAAAAGCTGCTTTTCTAAACTTTTATATGGTAGTTACGGCCACCGTTACTATAGTGCTACCATCATTAGTAGCTAAGTGTCCATCTAATCGCTCTTTTTTTCTAACGTAACAGTTTTGTAGATGGTGACTATTTTTACGGACCGACTGACTTAACTGACCAAATTTGATTGATCTATCCCATGGTTACACCAATCAAATTTGGCGCCGAATCCGATAATTTTCCTGGAAAAGTCATTTTTCTCGATTTCTACGTCAGCTATCAGTCAGAAAGGACAGTTCCTTACCTAACTTGATGAACTCTATAAAACTACATTGGTTTTAAATGAAGCGGAAAAACTTTTATAAAATTTGGTACATTTCAGATGGATTTACCCAGTTGCTATAACAATATTTGCTTTCTCATCCAATGCTCGTTTTCCTTTGTTATGCCTTCTATGATGAATTTTCTTATATCCTGTCAATGATTGGATTCAGATAGGCTACGTTCACACTGCAAATTTTTCAGAGTTAACCCCGAGTTAACTCGAAGTTAACTTCGAGAGCGTTCACACCTAAATCTTTAACACACCAATAAGATTTTGATATTTCCCCTAAAATTCTGCTGCTTAGGTTGCAGCTTGCTAACAGCCGACCAGTTTGAATTTACGTTCTACATTTGACGTTCTAAGCTCAAACAGAAAAATTGAGTCGAAAATCAGATGTTTGTTTGCCTATAAAACTGGCGCTAACTCCCATGTCTAATGGATCCATATTATTGTTTACTGAGCACAGTTTATGGTTGGAGAGTTAAAGTTAAATGATGTCCGAAACATCATTTAACTCAGAGTTAACTTTTTGACCAATCAGCTTCGTTTTTGCTCATTTAACTTTTGTAGTGTGAACGTGGCCATACACGGTAACCATAGCGGAGTTTTTTTTGAAAAAAGGAATTTTCTATCGCTGACATCTATATTAAGAGTTTTATTGATGAAGACTATTCACTTCTTTATCCAATAGAAATACTACGGGAAAGAATGAGTCAGTGATATAATGTTACATTAACAACTGTACCGTGGCTTGCTTTCTTCTATTCCTGCTTTTTATTTTCTTTGCTTACTTTACTCTGCAGAACCTTACTCAAACAACAAGCGTAACAATTCTTTATCTGAATTTATTTATGTAGTGGAATATTACTTTGATTTTTCATTATTGAATAGTTCAAATGCGTCAAGATGGTATGAGTTTTCTTGAAGCGAAAGTTGCTTCTTAACTGCTATTTCCTATTTAGATGGTTGAAGATGAAGATGATGAAGAAGTTATTTTAGATAAGCGAACTTTACTGCAACCTAATCCAACCTCATCATTACCACTTAGCGGTGTAAATCGATTTAATATCAAAGTCTATGATGAAGTAAAATTATTGAAAGTACAAACTGCATTATTAGGTGCAACATGCATCTCAATCGTAAGAATTATCTCTCTGATACCGTAGTTACAAACGAAACAGCTAAGTAGTTAGAAGTTTCTTTTTCTTTTGTAGGGAATGTTCGTTGGTATTCTTGGGCCAACATTTATATTTTCGGCTAATAAAATTCAAACGGATGTTGCTGCTGTCATATGGCTGATAGCACTGAAAGGTATTGGATTTTTTATCGGAACATTACTCAGTGTTTATCTTTATAGCTGGTTAGTAAAAAATAGTTTATCTAATTGGAAAAAGATGATTTAATTCGTCTCTGTCTTTGTTTTAGGTTTAATACATGTTGTCTTCTTGGATTGTCATGTTTATCAATTAGTTTTGGTGTTTGTTCGTTGCCCCTGATTACAGATTTAGCTACATTCTATTTAACTGCACTCATACTAGGGGTTGGACTTGCAATTTCGATTAATGGTAAGTGAGAAGGCTATTACGCACCATTTTGGATGAATGTGAACTTTCTCAACAATTACTACTTTCTTTTCGATCCTTTATCGAAAAATCGCTACTGCATTAGACAAATCATCTTTGCCCGAAATTCTGCATGGTACTACCTTTACACTAAAGTTCAAAGAGATTAATTTAGACTTGGTTTTTATGAGATTGTTCGTTCCGTTTAGAATTTTATTGTTTATTTTTCTCTATAAAGGGATCGATGCATTGTACAATCGTTTATGGACAAGACGATCATTAGCACCTGTTCCATGGTTACACCTATTACTGGCTCTTGGAGCTGTTTTATCTACACTTTTATTAATACCAACATCAATAAGCAACGATAAATTGAATATTATTAATAATAATACGAGAAAAGATCAGATCGGTAGGTTTTTGTTTAGATGGTAGAATATAATATGGTTATTTCTTTTGTACTTGTTTAGGCAATAATCGTCTACGACGACAGGACGATAAAGAATCGATTTCTGACAAATTAGCCTATACGGTGTTTAAGAATTCATCAAATGAGACATATTATTTACTCTCAAATACATCATTGTCTATGATCGATATAAATTCTTCCATGAGTACAACTACAACAACACCATCACATCCAGGGAAACCATCACTCGTTGATACTAAAGATTTATCTCAAGTCCACGTTAGCAAACCAGAAGACACACCTAAAGAGCTCGACTCTCCATCTTTGGCTCAATCTACAAATCACGATGAATCATCCTGTACGAAAATTTATTGTTGCTACGATCGAAATGAGACAAAAAACTCATCAACAGCATTTGTATGTCGAAGTGATGTACCAGATAAAAGTGATCAATTGATTTGTGAGCAAATAATACAAAATTGTCAACAACAAAGGCTATGTGTAACGTTAACAAATTATTTATGCAAAATCGATGAAGTATGCAATGTAAAAGAGAAAGAACAACAAACAGTAGTAAATAATTGTAGTATGACAATCATAGACATGGAGTATATGATGAATTTGAAGTCGACAGACTTGCCAATGATAACAAAATCTAATGTGACTATTAAAGATACAACAGAAGCCCCTCGCCCTATTGCATTGTCAACAACCACACCATCGACGACAAGTAAGATTTTATGGGAATTTTCTTTCTGAAAAGAAATTAGGTGATGTAAGGTTTACTATTACTAGAAATAGGTGAGGCGTCGGTAACTCAGAAATTCAACAGAATTTTTTTCGCGATATTTATACATGGTTGGCTAGGGCTCGTCGTTTTTTACCTATAGTTATGCTTTAAAACTAAATCTGAACGAGAATTTCTTGTTTTGCAAAAAGATGACTTGTCCGTTTCGGAGAGGGTCCAAGAAAAATCAATCTTCTCAGCAAGGAAGTAAAATAAAAAACGATCCTTAACTTTTTTGGGTGGCGCTCTGCCGGCTAGAATTAAACAAAAAAAGTGGCTCTATCTGCTAACTAGAAATACTTGACTGGTTTGCAAATTGGCACAGGGGCAATTTCACTAGCTGGAGCTCAAATCCGTTAATACCCACATTATTTATTTGAACAGGCTTAAACCGATGTTTCTAGACTCAGTTTTTGATGCTGAATCAGTAAAAAACTGTTTAAAAGTTTTAGAAGAAAGAAAAAAGACGAAAATTCGAAATTTTTCAAAAATATAACGTTTTTTCACAAATTATAAAAACTTTGTATTCGAAATTTTTCTCCATCAAAAAATTTGAAATCAACTTTTTCTTACTCAGTTCGACGAGCTCTATCCAACCATGTATAACTATTGTGATAAAAAAATTTTCCTCAATTTCTGAATTACTGATGTCTTAGATTGCTGTCAGATTACACGAACACTTCGCTGGAGTTTGTCTCTTGTTTAAACGAGTCTTGCAGAGTCAACTATCATTCACTTTTCAGATAGTTCAGATTACTAGCAGTAAGCAGTTATGCCTCTTGTTAGCAATGATATATTTTTAATAGACTCATGTTTTAATATCTTTTTTCAGCCATAACGACTACAACAATAACAACAACAACAACGACTACAATACACTCTACAACCAAAATTTCAACAATTCATGTTGATATAACTCTACCAATAATAACATCGACGACTACCATCACCACCACCACTATAGTTCCTCATCACAAACCATCTTATGCCAAATCGGATAAAGATGATTTATCAGAAAATTTGTTTTATAGTAAAGTTGGCAATTTTTTCCATTCCATTCATTCGATTCAAGTTTTATATTTGTTTTTATCGTTGTGTTTTTTGCTACTTGGTATATTCTATTCAGTTTTGGCCATACGTGGATCGGATGTTAGCTCCAGCGCTCCACAACAACCAACAACCGCATCCCATTTTCTAACCTCCTTTCTTTCTCGTAAATCATTACAACAACGGCAAAATTCTTCCCCACAAACATCGTTATTATTTGCTGATAATTCATCACTGAAATTTATTTCAATCTTAATTTTATTCTATTTATTTTTATCGTCAATTGAACATTCATCTATTTATCTCACATATCTATTTGGTATTCAATTAAATCAAAGTCAATTGTCAAGTTTATTAATGCAATTTTTATTTTTTTTTGGCCTATTTTTAGGTAGACTATTTGATATTTTCATTGAATACGGTTGTTATTTATTAAACACTCGTATAATTACACGAACAAAAAAACAATCTGATCGTTTTCATTCTATATCATTAAAATTTTGTATACTCATTCGTTTATTTTTACTGTTTACTATATCAAGTACTCTAACATTTTCACACTTATTTCAACAAACGACAACTGCCAGTGTTCTACCATCGAGGCAAACATTATATTCAACTTTTTTCTTAATTGGTTTTATTATTGCATCACTGCCAAGTCTAATACTATTATGGTTAGAACGAGATTTGACATTAAACGAACGTTTATTAAAAATTATTGTTTTGACAATGACAACAAGTGAAATATTTTTTCCACCATTTATTTACTATACAATGAGAAAATACATATTATCATTTATATTCTATCTGTTCTTATCGTCTTGTCTATCGTTGGTCATCTTTATTTTTCTTTTGTATTCAAGTAAAAAATGGCATCGAAAACAATTATATCGTATTTTGCCAACATCAATGGAAGTGGAAATGAGAGATGATGATATAAATGATGATGAGGAGGAAACTGCTAATGGACTTGTTGGAACAGAATCAGCATTAGGTAATGAACAACAACAAACAAGATTAACACAAACATTAGAACAAAAAACTTACAAATTACATTGATAAATTATAGCCAATACACTTGTTATGCATGAGAATGCATTTTATGATGTCACTTTCTTCCAAAATTTATGTAAATTGCAATTACAGTAGAAAAAAAGAAACAACAGTATTCGTTCTTCGTTTAAAACGATACTGAAACATTTCCGTAACTCTCGTCTTCTAATCTGGAACACTTTATCGTTATTGCTGCTGTTATACTTTTATGTAACCTCAATCAGTTGTTCTTCATGAATTTTTGACCGGTGTATTTTGTTGTGTGAATATTGTTTCATGTGAATATTGTCATTTGTTGAATTATTTTCATAATATAAATATAAAACTTGTTTTTTTAAATAAAAAGATGACTATCAATGTGAAACAGAGACGAGCGTTCCAATCTATCGTATATAACAGAGATAATGTAATTTTAATATTTATTCATCAACGGGTATTTCTATTAAGCTACCGACAGCAGTAAGATCATTTGAAATCCTTTTGTGATTGTATTGCATAGAGGAATTGAAATTAGTGTACAGTACTGTAACTTCGTTTGATTACAAGTATTCATTTTTTATTGTTGCTTACTTTCAAGTTGCATCAGAGACTTATTAAATGAATGAATGAAATGAAAGTTTTTTTCTCTATTTCTTTAGACGAATATTCAAAGGTTGCTTCTAGTGTAGTTTTTCAAAATACTGTCCTTCAGCATTAATCCATTTCTACATTCAAATAAACCAGTCAGTGAAGCAGTTTTTTAAATTTTCCTTTATGAAACTGTTGATCATTGAAAACTGTACAATCTGAAAGTACCTGCACTAAATGAGCATGGCTTTCCTTGTATGTCTAGCCAACTTTCCAGTCATATAAAATCATAGTTCGAAACTCTACTCGCGAGAGTTCAAAAGTCATGTGAAAAATGCTATATTACTAATCTGAAAGAGATATACAACGACACATGAGAAGTATAAGTCTTCAGTTTTGCACAAAATTCTAAATATGTCAAAGCATTATACCAAAATTGTTCCACTCAAACTACAGCTTTTAGAAGACTCGGACGAAAAAACTAGAGTAAAATGTCATAAAATGCGCCAGTACTAAAGTAATTGACAGATATGTTCTACAAAAAAGTCAGTTTTGCGCTTCCAGTACACTAAAAAGTTCTTCGTTCGATGAATCATTGCAGAATAAGGAGCATTTTAATAGACATCTCGGTTGTCTGCTAACGCTTGATTATAAATTCTGTCTTCTAACCAGGTCTTTAAAAAGTTATAAAAATTTAACTTTTTGAGAAATTTTCTTTTAAAATCCGTAGCACTTTATTATTCCTCCACTTACTAATGATATACCATTGAGTGTTGCTAATATCAATGCATTTTCTTTTAATTATTTGCTTAAGTACTACAACAAAACCGTTTAAATAAGACCAGTTTTATAAAAAAACGAAGATATCTGTAATTTTTGAAATTCAAAAACTCCTTTCACTTCGGAAAGAACACCATGCGTTTGTTAAAGGTGAGAGCTACTGTAGTCTTAATTTTATTGATTAATTAATTGAATTTTATTAATTTTATTTTACTATAGTCTTAATTATATTTCACCCTCATATTTGATACAATTGCTGAATAAGTAATCGCATTAAAACAATAGTGTCAGAATATCAGGCCTATGGTACAGAAATTTTCATCTTACCAGTGTGTTCGAAAGTATGCAGAGGTTACAAATCTCACTTGTTCTGCAGTATTGTCGCAACAGATATTGTAAAGTCGCATACAAACTCATGATTTTGATTTATAGAAGATAATTCTTCTTTATTTAAAAGAATAGATAAAAATCTATTGAATCTGATAAAATAAAGTTTGTATAAGTTGTAGATCTTGAGAAAAAGAGCTGTGAAGTTCGTCTGATTTCTCGGATATATTTCGCTCTCCCATTGAGTATGATAAATTCAAATCACTGAGATGAACTGATAAATGTTCAACGGCTAATCGATCAGTATATGAAGAAATGGCTGGTAAATAAATTTTATCAAATAAAAATAAGAAAAAAGATTAATTTTCAGTTGTTACGACAAGTGATTCTTTGTATAAATTGTCATGAGTACGAAAAAACAACTTAAAAGAAAAATACTTTTTAAAGGTACAAAAATATTGTAAACAATATAAAAATGGATAAGAAAAGAGAATTGAATAAAGTACTCCAAAATGTAGATGTTAAACTAAAATATTTTAGCTAATAGTGTACATCTGTCATGTTCTCCCAAATTTGATAATCGTTCTTTATCGTACGTCGCATAGATAAGTTCTTTATATGTCTTAAAATCGTTTTTAATAAATGATTTACATGAATAGGTACTTGTTGCTTCGGTATAAGCTCCATGAATACCCAATTGTTTAGCTCGTTCTAAACTGGCAGTAATCAATCGTTGACTCAATTTATGACCACGATACGTCTCATCAACATTAACAATACCTATGTGCAAGAGACGTTCAACATTTAATATATCAAATAAATTAATATTCTGATGAATATTTTTTATTAATTCATAAATATAACGTAAGTTTTCTGATTTAAAATCCATCGTATCATCATTGTCATGTCTGTTTTCAATATTATTAATGATGGCACCTACGACATTGCTTGTTGCTGTATCCAGAGCAACATACGAACATTGATCAGCAACAGCTATTTTCAAAAGGAATTCTGTTGATTCAAGTGGTTCATGTGGCAGATTGAATGCTAGACGTTCATTCAGTGGTTCTTGAAGAAAAAATGAACCAATTAATAAATTAAATACTTGAGATTTATGTTCATCTTTCATAAGAAATAATTCAACCATCTTTCTCTAGAAAGAATAATATTTAAATAGCAATTTTATCGACGAACGAAACAAGAATGACAAGTTGTCACTATTTATTGCAGATTTAATTACTCTGTTTTGTAGTGTTTCTCACACACAAGTCGAACTCAATCGAATATTAGATTCAACTCTATAGATCATGCATAAAAAAATGTTTTTTTTTAACAGTATACTGCTCAATGTTTCACTCTTCGATTGATGATAAATATTGATTAATAAAGAAAAAAAATACAAAACGAAAAAATAAGCTTTTTAATAACTGTTTACATTTACCATCGAAGCATTCACCACCGTGATGATGCTTAGTTAATTTGTACTCATGTTATGGAATAGCGGATGGAAAGAAAAGAAAAAATTATAACTTTCATCGTGTGTCTAAATGTCGTAAAATGTTTTTTGACTATAAATTTTGTCATAAAAAGTAACAGTAACTTACTTGACTTTTCACAAATGAAAATTACTTCTTATAGAAGATCGATAGACAATTCGTCGTTGGTTTTACGGAGAATAAAACAGTATCTATAAAAAATAAGTATCTATTCTATTTTCGCCACTTTTTTTAACTTATTAATCATTCTTTGTTATTTATCTGATTTTTAGAAGCGAAAGTGTTTCTCTCACTTTCTCGCGTGCGCTGATTAGCTATCATTTTTTGTCAACATGTTGATAATAGATGGACGAATGTCACTTTGAATAAATCGCTAGTCTTAAAAACAACAATATTATCACTAACATTTTGTATTATAAATCAAGTTCTAATTTCGATAAGAATGCATACTATTAGCAGACCTATTTCGTCCTTGAATATTGTATATATGTTTCAAGAATATATAAGTATAAGCACTACTCAAAACTCATGCTCTTTCGCATAGAATGGCATTGAGAATAAATTTCTGTAAAACTGATACTTAGATCAGAACAAATAATTGACTGTTGCATACAGTTTGTCTATATACACTTACTTGTTTGATATATTCTGTCACTTTCGATCATCGCATGATTTCCTGATGAGATAGATATACAGTATCACGGAATGAATACTGCCTTTATTTGCAGAAAAAATATCCACCAAATAATATCACTGTACTGTTGATGACCAATGTGAATAGTAAACCAATTATCTAGAATTCTTCACAGCTTGAGTCAACAAACAACAAGGTTAATCAATGTTTGTACATTATAAAGTAAAAAACTGAGATTATGTATAAAATTGGACATATTATTGTTATTCCCTTCCCCTCTTCTTTATTGGACGTTGTCTCTCACATAATTGCACACAAATAACATTTATTGATATCAGACGAACGACAAATACCATACAATAAGTGACAAATATAACCACATTCATCATATGTAATTCGAACAAATGTAATAAGTTGCACCCTTGAAAAGTGAAATAAAATGGCAAGGAATAAAATTGTAGATATTTTGAAGTTATTGGAATAATAGGTATTGTTAACTCTCTATAACTGCAAATGGTATTTTGCGTCTCACCCATCGTTAATTTATCAATATATCATATTTTCATACATATCCATCTTTTTTCACATTCTCTTTCGACCATCTTAAAAATTATTGTTTTCATAGAATAAAAACAGATAGGGTAAAACCAATAGAAAACTGTAGAAACTTTTTTAATTCTAATTTATCGCTAGTAAAATTTTTAGAATGATCATTTCATTCGTTAAATATTGGTATATCATTGTCGACATTAATAAAAAAATCTTGAACAGTCATCCTTTGTCTGTCAAATTTCAATCCTTTGATCATAGATCTTCCAGTATTTTTTCATCATCAACAGCTTCGCCTGTGTTTCACAGTGGGCATCCAGGCGGATTTTTGCAAAAATTTGAAAATAGATTTTTTTGTATTAGCTAGGTGATAAAGACATTTCGAATGATGGGCTATTTATTGCCATAATAAGTTTCGTCACTACTGCTAAGATTTGTGGAAAAACACGGGAATGTGCGGTAAGATTATTTTAAAATAAAATTTAACAAATTTGAAGATAAAAAGTAAACAGGATGTGAAACTAGGAAGATCCGACTATCACCTACTGAAAAAAAACTTTTATGCTCTGGAGAAAAAAATTTAGTTTCCGAACTGACACCGTTTCTGTACACATGTGATCACTGTAATAACGAATCCCAAGACATCCCACATTTAAACTGGCTCAAACTTTCGCACAATGTTTTTCCGCACGATCTCACATCTCAAGCGGTATATAAAAAGTGTTACATATTGTTGACACTGTCACCGATTGTCAGGCTAAATCAATCCAGTTAATGGCATCTAATGCGATGATCTGTAATTGATCGGCTGTATGACCTGTTGTACATTTAGCTATAATATGTTTAACAAGATATTTTCGGTAATGAGTTTTGAATAAATGAATAACATTTTAGTCTAACGGTTGTACTTTCGATATTTTATTAGCAGGACAAAATTTTACTTTAATATTGGATAAATCAATAACAGATGGATGATACGAGACATTGCGTAAAAATAACAAAATATTTCGTTTTTTTATTTCTTAAATTAATTAATTAAATTATTCATGTTAATTAACCATTCACTAAACAAGTTCGCGTTCATCCATACGGTTTTATTTGCAGCCGTTGAACAAATAATTTATTAACATTTAGATCTTTTAATATATTTCGCGCGCTCACTTTAAAAACGTTACTTAGCTTTAGGGGTAGAAAAGTTGTCCACTACAGATACGCACTTTAGAGAGGCAAAAACACCCCGTCAAACCGAGCTTCTTTACTACTATAGCGAGGGTGCCCACATAGAGAGGTTTACTGTATTCATAACCTTGTTGACACACAGATGTGTAGCTAACTAAATCGTAGCTTGACCTTGTTCTTGTATATCTTGATAGTTAATGTATTATTTCTTGAATACACTTGTAAATACTCTATAATAGGTTATAAACATTTAGACAAACTGATTCATCGCACTGATTAATTTTGTGCCATCGGACATTAGAATAAATAATGGCAGTAACATAAACAACTAATAATCTGTAACTTTATCTGCTCGTCTAATGCACAGTCAGGCGGACATTTCGAGAAAAATCGAAAATGCTCATTTTCCAAATTCAAACGGTGAAGAATATACTTCGTTATATGAGCTACTTAATGGCATAAAAAGTTTTGTTCCAAGTGTTACAGAAACTGGGAAAATCCTCAGCCAAGAAATAGCCAGACAAAATACGGGCAAATAGTAAAAAGCTTTTCTTTTAGAATCGAACGGAAATAAACTACTTAGAGAAAAAAAGAATTTCCCGAATTAATTAACCCTTACCCTCATAAGGATATCTATCGGTTCTGCAGTAGCTTCTATTGAATCTATTGTGAATTCAGTATAGAATTCTGTATTTTGTTTATGATTTTCGGATCATTTTTGAACAAATACTTGACAGAGTTACCCAAGTTAAACCATCTGACGAAGACCCTTAAGCTAGGTCGAAATCTGAACCATGGTGTGCTGGACTCACCTTCACTCTCAATCCTGATTCGATGCATCTTGAGCTGGAAGCAACCTAAGTGGCTAGATTCCCAGCTCAAAGAAACCTGATTGGCTGAATTGCTCCCCTCAACAAACCTAGTTTTAGACTATTCGCTTGAATATCCGCTATCTTGCATCCGCCATCTTGCAAACATACAAACTAGATATGCACCGATTTCGGTTTCAAACCGAAGAACCGACACGAAAAAACCGATATTCGGTTTAAATCGACACCGAAAAACACGAACATTCAAGAAATTTTCACAGATGGTAGGATACTATGTAGTATCTATAGGCAAAAGATCATTGAAGTCGGCGTTGGACATCTGGAGCTCCTCTCATCAGTATTATTGTGAAATTTTGTGTCTCGATAGCTATATATAACTCGTTAAGTCAAGATGCAGATTTGCGTGTGCTTTTTTCTGGTTTTAGTTTTTCGATTGTGGGTTGACTGAAACAGGTACAAATAAAAGATGTTTCTTTGACAATAGTAAACAGATGTTATGTGCTCACTATTTATATCATTTTAAAAGCTTAGGTAAAAATGTTTGAGAGTTTTTCGGTGTCGGTTTAAATTAAACATTGGTTTCTTCGGTGTCGGCGGTGCATACCTAATACAAACGTACGCGAATTTATTTCATATGACCCATCCTACAGTCGAGGGGATATTTTTGTAATATTTCGGGTATGATATTTTTTTGTTCGTTTGTTAAGTTATAAATATCATAATTTTCGAACTTAGATCGTATTTTAGTTACAATCAACTCCATATATTCTTTGGAATTCTTCTGCATTATATTTTCGATTATCAAAAAAACATACATTCGACATTTAATATGAATTCAAAAAAAATAATTCATTGAAGATTATTTAATTGCTGAACAAAATTAGTATTTGGACGTATAGTTGCTCTTTTTGTTTTGACATGAGAAAAGGCTTGATCATAATTGATTTTATATTTATCCATTATGTAAGCTATTACTATAGAAGCACTTCTAGAAATACCAGAAACACAATGGACTAATATATTTGAATTATTTTTTTGACTTTCAGCAATAAAATCCAATGCTTCTTTAATGTAGTCTGATATATTTTGTTCTAATGAATCATCGATGTCTATTATTTTATAGATTATTTGATTGAAATTTTCTTTCATTCCTTTTCCTAATATTAATACATATCTGATATTAAGTTCAAATAATTTATTTACATCCACACCAGATTTTTGCGATCCTAAATATATGTTATCAATTATATAGTTTGACGGTTCATATTCAAGATTAGCATTGAATAAATTCAAATGTTTTATATTTGTTTGATAACAAAGTTCACATAAATTTATATTGTCGTAAATCTTGTTACTTTTCTTTTCACAAATAGTACAATTCATTGCTGATTCTTTAAAAATTTAATATTTTTCCATTTTGAATTGTTATTTGTGTAATAGCAAAATTATAATCTGTTTT